CCCGACACTTCGGATGATTCCCATCAATTGGTCGGATTCAGCAATGCGAACGGCATTCAGAAATTGAACGACTCTCGAGTTTAATTAGCGTATATCGATTTCTTGAGAACTGTATGTAATATTTATTCAGCAGGAAAATATACGCTTCTATCATATCCTGAAGATATTATCTCTGTGTATATACATATATATATATATATTGTATATCATATACTCTACCATATAAGATTAAAAACATAAATTAAAGAAAGTACTTATAATGTCTTAAAACCCTGCTAATATAAGCTTTTCTTGAACAAATGTAATTATTATACAAATTGTACGATCTTAAAATTTTCTAATAATATTTATTTTAAAAATAGCAAGAAAAATATGAAGTACAATCTAAAACAGAAAATGAGGAAGTCAAAGTTAAACTCACAGAGGAAGAAACAAAACTCACAGAGGAAGAAACGGCGACAAAAACTCAGGAGGAAGATATGGAGGGAATTTCACGTAAGGATATAAAATCAGAAGAAAAGCCTTTGGAGCTTATTTTTCCATCGTTACCTGTTAATCCATGGACACCATTGCCGGAAATACCGATCGAAAAAATCGGAAGTGGCCTCAATAGAAAAGTGTGCATTTACAAACTTTTAATTAACGGAATGTCAAAGATACTTAAATTAATACTTACTTGGCCAGCGTCATGTCGTACATTTCATTTATGTATAATTTCTTGCTACCTCGTGATAAGCTAAACCGTATTTAGGTGTATTTTGTATGCAACACGCCTGGAGTGGACGAGTGGATCGAACTTCCAACGGTTACACCGCAGCAGATAGTAATTGCACGACAGATTGTTCGATACTGTACGGGAAACTTAGAAACACCGGTACGTGATGCCTTTTAATGAAGGAGACTTCAGGTTAGAGCGACGTTATTTGTGAATATGAATACATCCATATAACGCATCTATAAAGTTAATCCACATACTTTATGTTGTTTATAATATCTAATGACATGCATGATGATAGCAGAGTTTCGGTATACAATATATAATATTAATAAATGAATAGGAACGGGAAAAAGAATACTACGCTAGAACGTAAATTTTTATATTATCTGTACTGTAAGACATTTCTGTTGTAAACTTTCAAAAATGTTGCGAGTTTTTATCCAACAAATGTGCTATAAAAAACAATTATATTGTGAAATTACAATAATGTTTTGTGGCAAAATATATGTAAATCTCTGCGCATGCGCGGCGCGCAGTTTTGTAAATTCGCAACAAATTTCTATTATAAATTTACAAATATTGTGAAGTCATAGGAAAATGTTACATGGTTTGTAAATTTACTGCACATATTTTTATTGTAAGGATATTATAAATTCAAATATTTCTAACAGTGTATGATATATCTAATAATTACTTGGAATAATAATTCTTGACAATCAGAGGAATCTAAAGAAAAGCAGTTATTAAAATCAAACAACAAACAAATTTTAAACTATAATAAATGACTTTAATTAATCGTTTCCTACAGTCCATCGGCTTATTCATTTAATTTATCACATTGTTTTCTTGTCTCAAAACAGATTCACAGTTTTCCACCGTTTCCTGGTACCGAAAAAAATTATCTTCGCGCACAAATTGCAAGGATTAGTGCTACCACTCATGTTTCGCCAATTGGCTTTTTCACATTCAGTGAAGAAGACGAGGATGAAGAAGCAGAAGAAGAAAGAAAAAAAAGTAATGTATAACAAACTTTTAATTCTTATTATAAATTATCTTTTAAAGTAAACGTTAGAAAGATACAAAGTTACAATAAAATTATTAGTTATACATAATCTTATATATTTAAAAGTGGTATCATTTACACAGAGAATGGAAGCGACCAGCTACTTGTCGCTGTTAAAGAAAATGTGTCAAATTTAACATAAACCACATGTCGCAAACGGTTTACTTAAATTTTCGATTAATTTAACACAAAATAAATATGTTAGAAGGTTAGACAAATATTATGTAAGAGAATAAATACAATAAAAGTAATATTCCCACAATTTGTCAACAAACCGTGGAAGCATTTTTTTCTAAAAAAATTAACATTTATAATGCGTTAAATTAAGACGTATTTCATTCATTTGTCTTAGAATTTACATAGTAAAACATTATTTTTATGTTACTTGTTCAATTACTTATAAATTATGTCATTTTGACACTAAGAAACGTTAAATATCAATTTCACACAAAATCTTTGAATAACATAATAACATTATGTTAAATTAACACTCGAATATGTTAAAAAATTCAACACAAACTGTTAACACAGAACGTGAGTAGACCGTTTCTAACACAAATACACAATTTTTGTTACTGTGTATAACGCCGTTATATTTTTCTTATCGTTACTCTATAAGTTATAATAAAGATTTGGCAATGACGAATCGTTTTAATGACTTTAACAGTAATATCAGGATTGGAAGTCACTCGATCGTTACTTGTAACGATTTAGATAAGTCATTAGTGATTGAAAAAATTAATTCGGCATTTGTAACTGGTTACTTATAATCTTTACTTAATTTTAACGAGATAATTTGTTACTCATTACAAATTACTTTTTTCAATAAGTAAATGCATAATGTGATGCAAGTTACTTTTCAAAGTGACTTTCTCTTTGGCGCAATCTCAGCGATTAGTTAGTTGTCATTATAGTCATAAAAAATTACAACATCATTATCAAATTGTTATTATAAAAAGAAACAGAAAAAGTAATTGAATAGTAATTCTTCCATTCCCTGCATTTACATATCTAATCTACACAGAAGAAGAGTTATCAGAAAATCAAAATTATTATCCACTGCCGATCAAGGATCTTGTAGATCCCTCCATGTCAAATTGGTGTCATCATAGTCCATATATTCTTAAGCAAGGACGTACTGTCTGGTGGAATCCTAAGGAGGAAAATATTGTCAACGTTAGTTGATTAGATTAAATATTTTAGTTCTCACTCTGTAGAATTATCTTTTGTGATTACTTGTGAAAGTACTTCATCAAATTGTTTAATAAAGAAGCTATAATTATATAGGAAGTATTTGAAGATGAAGAAAAAGAAGACATAGAAACAGATGAAATAAAGATGACGGTGGGAGAGATCGGACCACCCCTCTTAATTCCTTTGTCTGAAGATTCTATTATTGACTCCGTGATACCATGGACTGTTAGACAGTCGTCATATATACAACCAGATGTTGCAGTAGCTTTAGTTAGGTCGAATATCTGGCCTGGAGCGTTCGCATTCGCGGTAGGAAAGTAAATGTTATACACTTATTTTTTTCGGTATTAATACTTAAATTATTAATATATATAGATTATTTCAAAAGTCAACTATTAGTACATTTATAAAGTAATATTCTATAAATTTTTGTATAAAGTAAAAAAGTAGAATATTTTGTCATAACATTGTCAAATTTAATTTAATTTAACAAAATGATTTTAAATTTATCTCACATAACTTATCATTTTTTTATAACCATTTTTAAATAACCATTTCATTCTGTCATGAATATGTTTGCGGCTTATGATAACATAAAAAATTATGTTGAACTATTAGTTATATTACATAAGAAATTATGATTGAAATTATGCTAAAGTTTATTTTAAAAATATCATTTCACAGACGTTTTGCTACTATGTACATCGGCTGGGGTCACAAATACAATGCGTATAATTATAATCCTTCTCATATGCCACCTGTTCAAGATCAGTACAAAATTGGACCAGAAATTATGGAAATTTGTGATCCTACTGTGAAAGAAGAAGAAGCTTTTCGATTAATGCATTTGCCACCAATATTACCAGCAGGTAATTGGAAAAAAAAA